TTTTGATCCATCTTTTTTTCAAAAGCTGTCAATTTATTATCCAGTGATTTAGTCAACTTAGTATCAAGTGATTCAGCCAGCATCATTTGCCCGATTCCTCAAACATTTTCTGCAGGTTTCTTTCTGCAGGTTGCTCTAGTGATCCTCTCCTCCCCTCTGCTATGTTTGCTGCTTTTCTGGTGGTTGCCATTGTAATATTGTAATCCAAAAGTGAAAGTGTCTCAATTGCAAGGGAAAAGGGCAAGCTTTCCCTTTTTTCCTGTTTTGTCTTCCCTGTGTCCTTAATACTTTCATCTCAAATGGCACTCTGTAGTTACAGTCAGCATCACAGTCTGTTTCATATTACCTTTATCTTTTGTTTTGTAAAATTCACCAATTGTCTGCCCTCTTTAATAGTAAACAAAAAACATTCCCACAAAGGTCCAGTTCTTTTGTCTATTTTAATTCCGATTTATTCAAAAGCACTTTCACCAAAAAAATAATATTTGGGGGGGGGGAAACTATCCCTTTTATCCGTTTCAAACTTTCTTACATCCATTCCTTGTTAAGCTTTTTGTCAAAAGTTTTTAAATCTTTAAAACCCTTTTTTTTTCCTTTTTAGTCCAGAAAGAATGTTGACTTGCCAAGTAGAATTCTCTTGGCCTACCGCTCAGAAAAACTCACTCTAGCTGTAAATTAATTACATCCAAAAGGGTTTAAGAAAGTGAGGCTTGTGCGAGCCTTGTGTCCATATAGGCTGCATCATGGCTGTGAGCTTGGTTGAAATCCCTTGACTCCCAGCCACTCAATTCACAAATCAACCGCAAAAAACTCAGTTCCTGCAGTCTACTCATGAGGAGCAGCTGTTCGGAGTGCAAGTGGGCAATCTCATGATCTCTCCTTTATCCAGGAAGGCAGCACCAGCCAGAATTTGCCATCTGGCTGCCAATCTCCACCACGATGCCGTCCCCGCTCCTTCAGGGACGTCTAGTCTACCATAGATCCTCACCCGGAAGCCAAACTGCAACATTTTTAATGAAATCAGTAGCCTTGAGTTTCCTGGGTTCAGCCCTTCCAGAAGTCCTCCCTCCCAGGCAGAGAGGAGGACCACTCCTGCCAAGGAAGTTTGAGCAGAGGAGAGTTCTGGCGTCCGCTAGTGGCCCTTCTTTGTGGGGCGCATAGATCATTGGGTGAACACTAATGGATAGAGCCCTTCCTTCTCCTTGGTCCCACCCAAAGGACCTTATTCTGTGTGTCTCAGTGGATCATTTCTTCCCAACACTCACATGTGGTGTTTCCAAGCAAACTTTGGCAAAAGTAGCGTGAGAGTTAACGTTTGTGAATTTCACTGCACTCTGTTAGCAGTTTATATTCTCTCACACCTCTGCTGATCACTATTCCTCAGACTGGCTTCTTTTTCCATCTTAGACCATTGAATCTGTGGTCTTATTACCACAAGAACTGGATTTATCGAACTTGGGTGTGACTAAATCAAGCACTCACTTTCTCACTGCCGGTAGCAAAGGTGAGTCAACCTGCTAGGATGGGCTTCCCCTGCAAGTACCGGGGACAAGCTGTTGCCGTCTGTCTCTGCTTGCTGCGAAGAGACTGAAAGCTGAGCTTTTGCATCAGGGGAGGGGAGGGAGTTCTATCCAAAGCATGGCTTAATGGGATATGGGTAGCCATTGGTCTGAGGCAGACCCCCCAATGTCCCATTTCCAGAATAGGGGGAGGTACATTTTCTGACAATTTTTTGTTATTTGCAGGGGCTATAAGAAGTGAAGTGCTTTGAGAGGTGCTTTGAGAGCTTCAAGGCAGCTATTAACCCCTCAAAAATTCTGAAACCCAAGAAAAGGGGATCATTCTTTCTGTTCTGCAGATGGTTCAAGGGGCAAAATGGGACTCTTAGACTCAAAATTGGAGGGACCCCTTAAAGTCTCCAAATCCAGTCCCCTGCAGGTCTCCTTGACAGTCATTTTTTTGTTTGTTTAAATGTGCTCCATTACCCAAGGGTCTGGGCTTCCAGTTTTGCCAGCTCTGGTAGTTCTTGGATGACGGGAGATTGGTGTGCTGTTCTTTAGGGATCCTCCGGGTGTGGGATGCGTCCACAAGTACCTGCGTGCACAGCCAGTCCCTGCCCCATCTGCCAGCTGAGTCCAGAGCAGAGGTGGTTGGACAGCACAGCCTCATGCACTGCAGCCTAGTGCCAACAAAAAGTGAAGTAGTCGCCGTGAATGTGGAGCGCAACATCTGTTTGTATGATGCACGGACACTGGATCTCAAGAAACAGGTATCCAACCTCGTCGTTTCCCAAGGAAGCAAAGCTGCAGACAAGTTGGTGGAGGGGAAACGCACGCCACCGCACATTGGTCCTAGAAGTAATATTTTATGTGGGCCCCTACATTGTCACCAAAAGGTTTTGTGAACCATCACATAACAACAGGAAGCAACAGTGTGACCTCTGCAAATATTATGATGTTCAATACCCCCATGTCCCTGATTGTGCCCTCGGGACCCCAAAGTTAAATAGAAACAGTTTAAAGAAAATAAAATAGTAAAATCAGTTCTCACAAGGAATTGAATATGATTTTGAGCAAGGATGACAAGATTTCAGATTAAATTAAAAATTTCAATCTTGCCCATGTCTTACAAGTTTTGCTAAGCTCACAGAATTTCATCCTTTTTTAAAAAATATTTACCTGTCTACCACAGATCCTTGCAGTTTTCTTGCAGACCCACCATTGTTGTAGAATGGCAGACCTAGAAATGCCCACTTTAAAATATCCTGCACCAGGAATTGCGAGGAGGGCAGTGGCAGGGGTGGGCAGTTCAAAAGAACAGAAAATCATAGTCCCACCTGTATTTGTTTCATACTGTAGCTCACTTCCAAAAAACATTAAATGTGGCACCAAGCCAATTAGAAGGGTTTCCACTCTTGATTTCAGCAATCCTAAGCTTGGACAGCCTGCCTAGGCCAGAGCAGCGTTTCTTGTCCGCTTGTGTCCTCTTCCAAAGTGTAGAAGGTCTTTCTCCTAAGGTTTCTTTCCTTCTTTGCCCAACCAGTTTGATTCTTACATTTCTCCCTCAGTTTTCAGGTTATAATGGAGAAGTTTTGGATGTCCGGTTCCTGGGACCAAATGACTCGCACATAGTTGTGGCAACCAACAGCCCCCAGCTGAAGGTATTTGAGTTGTCATCTTCAAACTGCCAGATTCTGCAAGGCCATTCAGGTGAGCAATAGGAAACACTGACAGTTTCCATCTTTGACTGCTGCAGCGTGATGAGTATAGAGCTGCCCTTTTTGGCTGACGGAGAAAGAAATCAGCTCTATTCTTAACTGGGCCAGAGTGTGTTGTTTCAGGGCACAATGCTGGCTTCTCTAAAGCTATAAACCAAAGTGGGGGAACCTGTGGCTCCCCAGATTTTGCTGAAGTAGAGCTCCAGCAGCTTTAACTAGCGTAGTCAGTGGGGAGGGACAGTGGGAATTGTAGTACAACTACATCTGAGAGCTTGCAGGTACTTTACCCCTGTTGTAAATGGCTTGGGGGCCTGGGTATTTGAAGGATTCCCTCCAGCTTCATAAGACTGCCTAGATCTTAAAATCATGTACAGATGCTCTTCTTCGAGAAGGTCTCCCCACCCCTCCCTCTCTCATACAAACGCATGCATGTAAACACCCATCTGATTGTTTGTTGAAGTTCAGGTAGATTTTTGCCAGAAAAGGAGGCTTCTCTACTGTAGTACCTTCCTTCCCGGGAAGCTAGCGTGTTGCTTTTCAGATGTTTTATACACTAATACTGACAGATATATGTCAGTTCCTGTTATCCACAGCGACAAATAATTATGCTGACTGAGAGGTTTATAATATTTACTGTTTGACACACCTGGATGGTGTCAGCTTAACAGAATCTGGGTTATGTATCCCAGCTATGTCTAAACAGCTTTCAGCCAGATTTTATATGATGAGGTTTACTTTCTTGATCTGTGTGATCTGTTTCAGCCACCCTGGAATTATTTTGTTAGCATGCCTTTAAATTGTCTCTCATATTTAACCATGGAAGAATTTCAAAAAGTTCTTTCTCACAGGCAAAAACAAGGCTGGTGCTGACATGCCATCACACTGGTACCAGCCTTTAGCAACCACACAGGTGGAATTTTCTCCAGGACACTCTGTCCCCAACCTGGTCCTTCATATCTTCCAATAATTCACCCACTGCCTCTGTAACTGAGTCCATCCACCTTGCTGCTGGTTGTCCTCTTCCACCTTTCTCACCATTATATTCCTCAGAGAGCTAGGCATAATGTGTCCAAAATATGATAATGTGTGTCTCAAGTGAAAACTTTGGATTGATTTGTTCTATGACCCATTTGTTTGTTTTCTTGGATGTCTGGGGTATTCTCAGGAGTCTTCTCCAACACCAGAGAATGCTCATCCTATCCGGCTTCTTCCAAGTGTTTAGCTTCCATAGAGTGTCACAAAGAAAACCATTGCCTGCACGATTCTGATCTTTGTAGATATACCAAAAAACTCAAACAAGCTTATAAAGATTGTAGACTTGAAGTTTCCACAGGCAAGTCTTTCATTAGATGAGCTGTGACAAGAAAACAAATTGATGAACTCAAGGGGCTCAATAGATAACAAACCAGGTTATCCAGATGAGAATCTGTAGACATTCAAAAACTCAGCTCTTCTGTGGCTTGTTTACCACACTCCCTACAACTGACTCTTCTGCTTCCCAGCTACTGGCACTAACAAAGTACAGCCTCCTTTGTACATCAGACCCTTACTTCTTTCTCTGATTTTGCCTTCCTCCCTTTTCAGATTTATTTGTTGCCATCCCACAAACTGCTCTGTGCCTGCTGCCAGGTGTCTCCAAAGTAGTAGAGTAATTGCAAACATTCCGTGACTTCCTGAAAGCTTAACAAATGGCTAGAACCCAGGAAGCTCTTAGTCCAATTACAACAATTATTTGCACATTTGTTGGGTACCAGATATTGATATGAAATGATTGCTCAAAAGCTATATACTTGCACAGAAGGATATAATCCAATTACATCCACTTACAGACTGTGTTGATTCATTTGATTTCATCATTCCCTGCAACTTTCTTGCAGATATTGTTCTTGCCTTGGATGTCTTCCGAAAGGGGTTGTTATTTGCTAGCTGTGCAAAGGTATTGACCATTTTATTTTCTAATTCATTTCAGAAATAACAGGAATATTAGAATTTGAACTAGGAACATCACGCATGGTAGAGGTTGGGATGTAAATGAATTTAACAACTAGAACACAGTACCTGAGTTCGCATATCTTGCTAAGCCAGAAGTTGTCAAACTGTGGGTTGTGATCTTTTGGGAAATCATGAACAAATTTCAGGGAGTTACAAATTTGGGGGTCCTTGGACAGGCAAGCCTGGAACCAGCTATCTGTTCTGTTTTCTGGCCAGTTGTCCTAGTTGTCACAGTAGCCGCTCAAGACTTTTTGACACTCCACTCCCCAAGGCACTGCCTTTTTCCCCAAGGACCTTCACTTTTGCCTTCTCTCTTGCACGGGTAAAGCTGCAGCTAAAGGTTGGATGAGGCCAGTAGCTGGAACGGACAAAGCTTGGGATACGTTCTGACAGGCCTTTGCACAGAATTGCCACATGTGAAAAACTCCAGTTGGAGAAAGTGTAATTCTTGCAGCAGCAATTGATAGCCATGTAGATATGCTTATTATCATCATTCACCAGTGGCCACACACAGATTCATGTATTGATTATTATTTTAGGGACATCATAGGACCACAGAGTTTGAGAATCCCTGTGCTAAGCCATGAAGTGGTTCATTTACTGCTGACAGCACGTTGTCAGCCACTGTGTTTATAAATAAAGGATTATTTTGGCTTCATGCGGTGTTTGTACTCAGCCAGTTATGGCTCATTCAGCAAGCCATGGTTAAAATAAACCAGGACTTAGCACATGTGAACTCTGCTTGTTTGTGGTTAGGCCTCCCTTTTCAGGCATGGTTGACATTGTTTTCCATGAATGGTGGCCAGGACGAGGGCTCTGGTGTAGACATGTGTGTGTTTAGTGACAGGCTGGTGCTTTCTCTTTCTCTTCTGGCCTTTCAGCCTTCTACTCCTCAGACTCCGGTATCGCCAGAGGGCTGATCCAGCTGCAGGCATCTCCTCCAGTTCCCATAAACTTTGAGGGGCCCTGGGCTGCTGGGCAGCTGAAGGCACCTTCCAACCCGGGTTTGGTGACACGCACCTTTGGCCTCCTTTTGGCTCTGCCAATTGATACGTGGCATTCGGGTGGAGCTAGAGCACTGATGCAGAAGAAAGAGCTTTCAATTAGTCTCGGACACATTGCCATTCAAATTTTGGCCAGCCAGCAGAGCAACAGACTAGAGTTTTAGTTTGGGCAAAGCACTGAACAAGTCACAGGTGGAGGTTCCCTACTTAGTTTACCAGCCAGATAGCCTGCATCAACATGGCAAACCAAGACCAGAAGACAGTTAGTGTGTTGTTTTCTCTAGTCCACTATTTAAGTATGGTATTGATTTCTTTTTACCACCAATACAAAATTCAGTTCATCTCATTTTGAGTGGTGGGAAAACTTTTCAGATACTTATACAGCTAGTAAGGTTAGCATGATTTTTCAGTTTTGGTTACTAACCGTGCATCAGAAAAGTGCATCGCTTTTAAGAAAGTGAAACATTTTCCCATTCAGAACTAATTAGGAGATCCATCTCGTGTGTCATTTGCTTTTTCAGGAAGGGGGAGCGGATGCAGCAGTGTCAGAGTTCCTGAGGACACCTCTCTTCTTGGGGGCCCTGGCCTTTGTTGATCTGTAGTTGCCA